AGAGGGCAAAGCTGCTCTGATCTCAGCAGAGCATCTCTTCTTTTGTCCTAGTGGCACACATTGAGATTGATGTGAGATTAAGGACCATCACCCTTCTAACAATCGATGGAAATGACAATTCATCTGAATTTTTTGTCAGTTATTCTCACGTTGATTACCTGAACGTGTGTACCTCATTTATAGATGCTTTATTAAAACAAAATTGTCTATGTCGCTTTAGTATCTTCCTCTGTTTTACAAAAGTCAGATAATACTGCAGCCATGTAACTTCATTTCCTTGCCTCTTAATCAGCTGGATGACAAACATAACCTGTTTTCATTCTGTATGTGTTAGTTTATATAATGCTGAACCTATTGTTTTCAGTAGTAGTCTGGTTTGTCCCTGTGATAAGCCCTGTGGAGATGTGATTATTCCAATAAAAATTCATTCAGTTGGAAACCAACCCTCCAGCTGTTTACTCCCACAGTCCCCGAGCTACACTAACACTGTGTGGAATCCTTGAACAATATTTAATGTGGAATCAAAAGCATCTTTAAAACATTTTACTTTAGGCTCTATAACATTGTGTAACCTTAACAATAGATTTCCAGCATCCATGAGGGAACACTTTGCAGTTAGACAACTTTGAGCCTTGACTGCAGTGTTCATCTTTGTGAAATTCTATCAAAACTCTTCAGTAACTAACGAACACATCAGACAGTAAGATTCTGAGCGTTCATGTGTGCACTTTCTATATTTCATGTAACAGAAGGTGTGCAACTCTTGGAGTTTCTTGGACAGAAGATGTGTCTGAGTAAAAGCTGAAGGCTGCCATGCTAAAGCCAGTTCTGTGTAATGTATGCAGCAGTTTGCAATTGCAGCTGCCTCAGAGCTCAGCAGCACAGAGACACTGCAAATCTGTTACATATGTTCTTTTCCGGGACAAAAAGGAGTTTGCTCTGTAAGGAAGAGCTGTGCTCTTTGCTTTATTTTAATGTCCTTGGCCTGAAAAGTGAATAATTTGTACTTGCATTCCTTTCAGTTTGAACATTGTTGGTGTTTTCCTGCTTTGGCAGGTCCAGTGTCCCTCAGCACACCAGCTCAGCTTGTGGCACCCTCCGTAGTAGTGAAAGGCACCCTTTCCATCACTCTTTCTGAGCTCTACTTTGAGGTGGATGAAGAAGATCCTAGTTTTAAGAAAATCGACCCAAAGGTAAGAGATCATTGACCCTGAGGTCTGAGAGATGATGACAAATTACCCAAGACCTTTAATTCTTCACTTGACTTCCTTTACCTCTATTGGGCTGCAGTGTTGCTGCTTTAATAACTTTGCCACTGACCATATATGTTGCTGAACTTCACATAGGTGACACCTCCTTTCCTGCTCCTTTTTCTCACCCTCCCACGATTCAACCCCACTTGAATGTTAATTAGCTTGCTGCGAATAAAGCTCCAGGGAGACACGTCTGAAATAAAGACATTTTGAATCACAGGCCTGTATGAATACAGGGAAGTTCAGCAAGGCTTTTAGCCTTACTACTTTGTTTTACTTTCCTGATTTTAGCAAATGTTAGTTTAAAACAGCACTGAACTTCCCACACTCCTAAGTTTGCAGTGCTCCTGTCATATTACTCTCTAACACATTTTACTCAGCCCGTTATTATTTATTGTGCCTAAGCATAAAACATAATTACCCTTCTAAAATATGTTTCTGAGCTGACTTGATAATTTCCACAAAGCTTATTTGCTCTGGGTTGCTTGATTACTTGTCTTCTGGTCAAAATTGGTAACCTTCAGTAAAATTCCAAGTTCAAAGGGAGCATATCATGCAATTAGCTTTATAACGTTGCACTTGAATGTTTTCTGCAGTGTTATAGCAACATTTTCCAAGTAGGACACAACTGGTAAATATTCTCACTATTTAAGCATAGTCACAGCTCTTGGTTTTTTAAATACCTGCCTAATGTTGAACTGGGTAACAATTTCTTTGGGAAGGATACTGCTGGGAGAAGTGGTTTTCTACTTGTCTGTAGAGAAAATACCTTGTGTGTTAAGCACCGGTGCAGTCCTTTGTTCCTATTGAGTAAATTGCTCTTGTCTGTAATAAAAATGGCATAGGTGGGTCTGAAAGCTGGGATTATCAAATTCTATCCAGAAAAAAATTTATGTTGAAAAGCAGTGCTCTCAAATTGTGAGAGCTAGATTTTAATGTAAGCAATTAACTAGAATTGTGATTTTATGCGATATCATAAATGAGACTTAACTTTTCTTTTGGTCCTGAAGAATTTTTGAAATATATTGGAAATTATTTTAAATCTGAGATAGTGCTTAAAATTTTTATATGCTTATATCCTTCTATGATGTTTCATTAATCCCCCCCTACATTTAACTAAAAAAACCCATTTAATGATGGAAAGAATATAAATGTGAAATTCAAGTTTGTTTGATATGTTCCTGTATTGCATTTTCCATCTAAAATGTTCTTCTTTGTATTGTATCAGCATGAGAAAAGGAATACAGATCTGCATTATTCTGGATTTTTGGTTTTTGTGTTCAGCACGTAGGGTCTTTGAGTGCAGTTACTAATTCTTACCATTCCTGTTACATGTTTTGTGGGAACGCTGACATATAACATACAGTTAGCCTCCTTTTCTCCTGCTTCCCAGTATTTGGTAGAGGTTTTATTCTTAACTGTAAACAGGCATTCTTGTTTTCTTTGACCCTATCTTTTACTCTGTATCTGAGAGATTTTCTTAGAGTTCTTAAAACAGGAGAGGTTGGTAACATGAAATACTGGCTACACCTCTTACATTCTGCTTGAAATGGTACTTTAGCTGGAGGACTTAAAATTAAAATTAAAAAATATACCTTTTATAATGTCTCAGGCATGGGGGGGAGCTAAAAATCAGATCTGAATAATTATATTTTAAAAAGTATGTAATTTTACAAACAGCGTCTTTTCAAGCATTAACGCCTCCCTGCCCCACCCTGTGCTGAAATCAATGTACCTCGGTAGCGATGGCGAGCTGCTGTAGAAAATGCCCCCTGAAAAAAAAAAAAAAAGCCCCAAGAACTAATCCGCTGTAAGCTCCGCAAGCCTGCTTAATTAATGAGGCTTCATCTGTTTGATAAATTTAAGTTCCCTGTATATTTGTCTAAACTACCGAAAAGAAAACATTGTGACAAGTTCCTGAAGGAAAACCTGCCTTAGGTAGCGATAGCATCGGCAGCGATACGATCAGAGTTTGTAGTGGGCTCTGGGCTGTTTAGGGGAGGAAGGGCTAATCCCGTTCTGCCAGGTGATCCGGGACCAGCGCTCCGAAGGCTCCACAAGGGCTTGTGGGGCTGGAGGGGCGGCGGGGCCGGGGCCGGGCTGTGCCCGCTCCGCCGGCCGGGGCGGCCCCGCTCACCCCGCTCCATCCACCAGCGGGCATTTCGTTTGCAAACTTAAAGGCAAAAGCAGCTCAAGTTTGAATGGTTATTTATTTCCGTCTCCGTCCAAAAGGAAACGAAAATAGCGAAAATAGTCCTTTAGGGCAAGAACTAGACTTTTTTTTTTTTTTCCCCTACCCCCGGCCCACGAAAGGCTATGAGAACTTGCTCGAAATGCTCCGAGCCGGCGTCGCAATCTTTCGGGCAACTCGAGCGGGTAACGCTAACGTTTTTAGGAATGCGTTCCCGAAAAAAATCCTGCCGGTATTTCTCAGTCGTCCCGAGCAATCTTAAAGCGAAATAGCTGCGGGGAATCAGGCAGAGCTTCGCTTTGGGAGAGGGGGCTGGGGCAGGGAAGGAGATCGGCAGAGAGCGCCCGGGTGCCGGTGTAGGATCGGGCGGTTTCCTGACGGGTTCCCGCTTATCTCCTCGTCTGACTATGCTGCGGTGCGATTTTATGCTGTACTTAAAAATCTGGGCAAAAACAAATGTTTGTTTAAAAAAAATATCGACCGGTTGCTCTAAATCGCATTAATTATTCAGGGTAGATCTATACTTCCTTCGTGTCAAAGTCAAATGGATAGCGCGTTCTCTCTGGGCAGCGAAAGCAAATAGTAGTGGACTTTTAAAACAAAATGCAGCGCTCAAGATTTACCGGGGAAAAATAGAAACAAGGAAAACCATAAGGAAAAAAAAAATTAAAGGGGAAAAAACCCAACTGTAGGGTAGGAAAAGGCATGCTGTAATTCTGCTGTAATTCTGTGGCGAGCTGCTGTGCGATGCTACATATATTCCAAGATTTAGAACAGAACCTTAGAGTAACAGAAATACAGCAGATGTTGTCACATGCTGAACTACAGAATAGATAAGATTTTTTTTAGATGCACTTTTTAAAAATGGAAACTAGAAGGAGGTTTAGAAAACATCAGTCAATATGCTGAGCTAAGGCTTGGGCTAGGTGTTGCATTTAGCCTATCTTTACATCTCGCGGTTTCGTTTATTTTAAAAAAACATTCCTTCTGAGGTTCAGAAAGAATGTATTTGCCTAAATTTAAGAACCATTCACAAAAAGTCAGTGTAAAGTTAAAGTAATATTTTTATTACTATTTGCAACAAGTCAGTTGTGGGGCACATAATCTGACCTTGGCACCGAAATACATTTAACATCAGTAAAACTTTTTTAAAGGGAAATTTGTACATATAGTTAAATAATTTTTTCACTTGGTGACAACATTCAGGCAAATAAGAGAGCATAAGAAAAGGACTATACATGGATTGGAAAATGTACCTTTCGGGTTTCGTTTTGAAGTTGCAAAAGTCCGATCGCTTCTTTTTGTGACCTTTTAAAAATTCACATTGGAGGACAGGAGGAGAGAGGCTCTTCCCTTTTTCTGTGCAAGGCGGTGAGAGTTTATGCCGGGAGAACCGTCGGCAAGTTTTTAAAGGCCGAGCTGCAGGTGGCTGGGGGGGTGGCGGGGGCGCCTGTCTTTCGCCGCCTCTTTCCGTCGTCGTTCGCGTTAAATAGAAAGTTTTTTAGGCGCTGTTGTTGTTTACGGAGGGCGAGTTTTTGTGCGCGGGCGTGTTAACCCTATAGCTTGTCGAGGCTTTTGGGATTGGTGAGGATTTCTCTGGCTAGCCTCCAGGTCTGTTTGGCAGCGCTTTCCAGGGCCGAGTGGGGTTTGCCCTGAAAGAGGTCTAGGTTGGGCAGGAAGTAGTGGGGGCAGCGCCGGCACTGCAGGCAGGAGATGAGCTGCAGGAGGATGCCGTTCAGCCGGTCGCCCAGGCACGCCTCGTCCCAGTCGGTCTCCCGCGGGTGTTTCTCGCACTCGTACAGCAGCAGCGTCTTCATGTGGTAGTTGTTGAGGGGCTGCCCGGGCAGCTCCAGGTGCCGGTCGCGCAGCGTCTTCAGCACCGACAGGCACTTGTTCCGGCAGCCGCCCATCAGCAGCCGGTTCTCGGCCTCGCCGAACTGCAGCACCCACGCGTCGCTCTCGGCCGAGCTCTGTTTGCCCGTCAGCGAGTAGCACTCCTTGGAGAGCAGGTTGAAGCCCTCCGCCTTCACCTCCGCCACCCGGTTGGGGCCGGGCCAGGGGATGTGGGGCATGGGCCACTGCGCCGCGCTGCGCGGCCAGATCCCGGTGCACTTGAAGGCCGGCGTGATCTGCACCACGTAGCGCTCCCGGATGCGGAGCTTCACCTCGCTCGTGTCCGCGATCATCTTCACCACGTCCCGGTAGCTGCACTTGTCCACGGCCTGGGCCACCAGCGTCTGGAAGCGGGAGCGGATCTTGCGGGCGGACAGGTAGCCCGAGGCGGTGATGAACTCCACCCAGAGGGACATGCTGCGCTTGCGGCCGTCGCTCAGCTTGAGCACGGCGCAGCCCGGCAGGGAGCCGTCGTCCACGAAGTTGAAGACGCCCATCTGGTTGAGGTACAGCACCACCTCGAACTCGGTGGGCGAGATCACCTCCAGCCCCTCGTAGCGGGCGTCGATCTCGCTCAGGGAGCTGATGAAGCGCGGCTCCTGCACCTCCACCTCCTTCAGCACGTCCGACACGACCTTGCACACCTCCCGGATGGTCTTGGCGATGGCCGCCTTGCGCGCCTGGCAGCGCTCCGTGTAGTATTTGTTGAGCTGGTAGACCAGCTTGGCCTGCGCGGCGATCATGTTGGGGCACAGGTCCGGGCTGTACACCGGGCTCTCGCAGTACGTTGAGGGATCCAATGCTTTAGCGGTGGCTGCAGCTTTGCGGAAGGCACCGGCCAAATCGCAGACCCCCACCGCCTCCGGGAAGAAGGCGGCAGCGGCGCGCCAGTGAGAGCAATTAAAGAAATCGGGGAGGGCGGCGAAGCACAAAGGAGCGAAGCCCAGCGCTGTCCCGGCGAGGAGGAGGAGGAGCGGGCCGGTGCGGGCTCGGCGGCGGTGCTGGTGCTGGTGATGCCGGAGCCGCTGCCGGAGAGGCGGGCAGCCCCCGCGGGCTCCCGGAGCGCAAAGTTTTGGATGGCGATGGGGGCAGGGAAGTCTGGGCTGCCTCTGCGCTCAGGCGCCCACCCCCCCGAGCAGCGACAAAAATGCCGTTTCAATAGTTCATGGAAAAAACACCCAAAACAGCAAAGAAACTTCCCCAGGACTCGCAGAAGGTTCCCGCAGAAAAGCCGGTCGGCGGCGAAGTTTAAAACCGCACACGGTACGAGAGGAGGAGAAGAATGCGAGCAATGCCCTCAGCGGAAGAGTGAACTCTGTGTCTGTCTGTCTGTCTCTCTCTCTCTTTCAGTCCGTGGCACCGCCAGAGATGTGCATGAGTTTGGCTGCCGCTCGCTCAGACTGTCAGGGGGTGTTGTTGATTTCCCTTTTCCTGCTGGAGGCGTTGGCTGAACCCGGCTCTGTGGCTGTCTCTATCTTTAGGCGCAGACGGGTGCACTTGGTCTGGGATCTCTCATTCCCGTCCTGCAGCTCTACATAGATTGTTGTGAGAGAGACTGTATGGAGAGGAGTTGTTGCTTTTTTTTTTTTTTTGGTTGTTGTTTGTTTTCTTTGCACAGACTGTGTTTTATCCTGAGCGGGAGGAGGGCGTAGCTGCCGTGCCCGGGATGGGTTCTCCTCCCCCTCCCCACCCCTGGAAGTGCGCGCCGGGGCTCCCGGTGTCCGCGCCTCTGGCTCCGCTCCTGCCGCGCCGTGTGCCCGCGTCCCTCTCGCGGCGCTGCCGCCGGACCCTGTAGTTTATGAATGGGGCCGCGCGCGGGCGCGGGGCGGGGCCGCGCCGCCAATCGCCGCCGAGCTGTCAGCGTCGCGGCCAATCGCGACTCGCGGCGCGCGCACACGCGCCCGCGCTCCCGCCCCCGGCCCCGCGCCCGCTCCGCGCCGGGGCTGGAGCCGGGATGGGCTCCGGGAGGGAGGCTCGGGGCGTCCCGCCATCCGGGGCCGTGTGTGTGTGTGTGTCGGGTGGGGGAAGAGGAACAAAAACTCCCTGTAATTTCGTCACGGCGGCTGGTGAAGGGCGAGGTGAGCTCGCTGCTCCCTCCGCCTGTGCGAGGGGACCCGGCGGCAGTGCCGGTGTGTGCGGGGAAAGGGGAGAGGCGGGCCGGGGCTTCACCGCAGGCATAAATCTCATTTCGCTTAATGCCGGACTGCAGCAGTGAAAGTGAGACCGTCACCGGAGTAGTGTGGCGCACCTTGTTTTACTGCCCCCAGTCACCTTAATTTAGATAAATCTTGTGTCATAAAGTTCTTTTCATCCTCCTAAAGCGGAGGATTGAGTTATTCAAAAGGAAACGATATTTTATGCACGTTTGTATTAATAAGAATATGGAATGGTTTGGACATAAAGCCGTAGCTCCGTGGTGTCAGGTCGGAGGGAGCCCCGGGGCAGTACCTGCTGCGGAGGAGCCAGATCTGCTTTTCCTGCGGGAACTTTGCATGGAAGGGAGTGCAGTTTCCGCACCTCCGGTGCTCGGGGCGAGGGTGCGCAGCTGCTGTGCCCTCCCCCGGGCCGTGCAGTGCCGCGGTGCGGGCCGGCTCTCGTCCGGGAGCCCGGCCGGGGCCGGGGCCGTGCCCGTGCAGACGCGCGGTGCGCTCCTCCGTGCGGAGCCTCCCGGTAACCCGGTGGGGCTCGGCTCCTTGCGCTCTCCTCCTTTGGCTGCAGCTGACTGATTTTAATAAAGAAAATACCGCCGTCTGTTTTCTGTGTGCGCTTAAATTAGAAACATGTCTGGTGCCGGCCGTACCGCTGCAAGAAGTAAGTATAGACGTGCCCGGCGCCGGTGCGGCTCCGTCCTTCGCGAGGAGAGGAGCGGCTCCCGGCTTCCCTGCCTGCCGCCGGGGCACGCTGCGCCACGGGATGGAGGGGCTGGCCCGGCGGGGCCCGGAGCTGGCAGCGGTGTGAGATGTCCCCGCCGGGCCCGGCCCCGTCGGGAGGGAGATGAGCCCAGGGAAGGCTCCGAGGGGTGCGGGAGAGGGGACGGGCTGCCCCGAGGGCAGAGCGGGGCTGGCGCCGCTGCTCTCACGGTCCCTGGGTGTCCCGGCGATGCGCGGCTGGAGCGGGGCTGTCCCCCCGAGGCGCGGGTCAGTGCCCGCGGAGCTGCTCCCGGGCGGCGCTCGGAGCTCCGTTAGCGGAGCTGCTCTGCGCGGCTCGGCGGGGCTGCCGGATCCCACGCCTCGCCTGCCGCTGTCCTCCGGCAAAGGGAAGAGTTCCTTAGGGCTGGGGGTGCCTTTCACACGCCACCGTCAAAGCTCCCGGGGCGTACTCGCTGCCGGGCTGGCACCGCTCTCCGCGCCGATGAGGGCTCTCTGCACAGCCGCCCTCCGAGCGGAGGTGGGCGGGAGGGCTCCGCGGGGTCTCGCTTCCCGCAGAGAGCGCCCAGCCCAGGGTTTTCCCGTGTCCTGGGCGCGGAGGAGGTTGCCGGAGCCTTCAGGCGGCCCTGGCAGTGGAGGGGGCACACGCGTTCCTTTTTTCAGGGTAAAAGCAGGAGGAGAGGGCGATTCCCTTCCCACCCCCCCGAAATGGTGCCTAATGATGTAGCGTTACCAGTGTTCAGATTTAAAACAATTCATTACCAATTTTCCTGCCTGAGGTTGAAGCCCTAGTAAATAATAAATCAGCTAAACAAAAGCTGACTTTAATTTATTGCCCCAACGCTAATTAGAAACATCATTTGAGCAATAAACTTAAACACTTCCAGCAAATAATGCACGTGAAATCCTTCTCTCCCGTGTCTGGGCGTTTGTGGCCGCACTGCATTAAGACCAGCTTCATCTGTGGCGGAATTTGCTCTCGCCGGGATGAATAATTGAAGGGGGAACAGGATCCGAGGAGGCTATAATTGAAGAGCCCTTGTCACCTCTGCTTTTATGTATGTTAGTGTAGAAGTCCATCAGCAGCTCCTTGATGGTGTATAAAACGAAGTGGCATCCCCTCCAGCAGCAGGAGATACTGTATTCCATTAAAAAAGACCGTGTGCGTGCGTGTGCCGCAGAGAGGGAAACTCTCAGGGCTAAAAGCCACTTGAAGTCTTCAGACCGATTGATCTGTATTCTCTCGTTATAATCCGTCTCATCATACTTGAGTTAATGAGGCAGGGGCGGGGGTGATCTGATGGTCCTTGACAAATTCATTAGGGAGGCTGCGGGACATTTTATTTGACTGTTAAACATCGTGTTTGTTTGGTTTAAGCAGTGCCAACATCAGCATGCCGCTGCCTGGAGCTATAGTGTTTTGTTAGCGAGGGCTTCTGTAAAAAGATACTGGGAAGGGGACGCGGTGTGCAGTGTTTGCTCTTGCCTTGGCTCCTCCTGCCCCCTCCCGCTCGTACGGCACGGAGCTCGGGCGGGTGTAAATCCAGCCGTGCAGGCGAGGGATGTGCCACGGTGTTCTCTTCACACTCGGGATGGCAAAGTAGCAGCGAAGGGCTGCCGTTAAGACTTGTTTTTCTTTTTCTTTTCTTCATTTTTTTTTTCCCATCAAGAGAGCATTATGGATTTGTGTTAACCGCTGAAACAACAGAAGAAAAAAAGCTGGAGAGCAGCTCAGAGTTTTAGCAAAAAGCTATACAAGTTTTTTTCTGTGTTATGATATAGCATACTTTAATTTGATTCCCTAACCAGCTTATCGATGTGGCACACGTTAAATATTTCAGTCTTTTAGTAATGACTGGTGTATTTTAAAGTTTCTGTAACATGCTACTGATATAAGGTATAATTTTTAAGGTAAATCAAAGTTTAATCAAAGTGACTTAAGGCTATTAAAGGATTTCTGCCAAGCCTGTCCTTTGTCTCTCCCTTGCTGAGAGGCAGAGGGAAAAGTGAATTCAGCAGCAGGTGCTCCCGAAAGGGCTGAAAAGTATTTTTAAGAATAGCATATGAAATATGTATGTGTTTGTATATGCTTTGTTCGTGACAGCTTCGCTTATGAGACCCAGCTAGTGTTCCATTATTTTCTAGTAGTTGGTTTACTCTCTGTCCTTTCATTTAATGGAAACAGTTTTGCAGAAAACGGAATAATTAATCTGCTTGTGGAACCTAGCATTGTGTTATTTTTTTCCCGGAGATCAGTCTTCAAACATTCTCAGCTTTAAGTGCTTTGTAGGACTCTGCTTCCATTTATAGAAGAACTGTATGGGAAAAGAGCTAGTGCCCTTTGCCTGTCATTTTCATACATTCCTGCACTGCTGATGAAGCTTGAACTGCTGCAGGGAATGTATGGATTTGAAAAGAAATGATTCAGTAATGCACGTTGCATTTCTCCACCGCAGAACCAGGTTCATAGTTACAGCCAGTGCTGTGCTGGGTTTGGGGGATAAAATTCCTTTTGCATTCAATGGTGTACAGTGTGTACCTTTTTTTGGGAGTCATGGCTTGGCTTTAGTATCTGCTGATCTGTTTTGAGGTCTGTGTGTATGAGATTAGTTGATGGCACACACCGGAGGAGTAAGGATGATTTCCTTTTTACCAATGTCATTAATGTATCTCATCAGCCTAAAGTGTTGTAGAAATCTTGTACCTTTTTTTCCCTGGGAAGATTGAGTGGTATGGTAATTAAAGAATTTATAAATGTTTTTAAGTTTCCCCTAGCTTTCATTTCTTTAGCGGGAGAAGGGTTGCTTCCAGCTACTCCTTTAAGTAGCTTATTTATGCTTTCCTGTTCAGTCTTAAAATGTGAATGGGTTCATAAT